CCCGCTCGGAGGGAGGGAAGCGCAAAGCAGCAGGAGAGCTCCGGCGAATGGGGAGGGAGGGAGCGAGGGTTTTGCTCCTGGGACGCCGGCGCTCCTGCAGTGCTGAGCTAAAGCTGGCCATATGGGCCGTGCCTCGTGGGCCGGTCCACTGGCATGGATTTTCGGCCTGGCACGCCACGCGATTAAAAAGGCCGGGCCGACCATGGAACATGGCCGATCTCCAAGGTCAGGCCTTAAGGCCGGGCACAGCATGGCCCATTTAATTGTGGGGCCTTTTTAGGGCTTTTTCAAAGCCTTTTTAGAGCTGTTTTAGGGCTTTTTCGGCCTTTTCAATGCCGGACCGCCCCGCAGCCGTGGTGTGCTGGCCCGGCCCTTTTAACTCGTGTGCCAGACTGATCTTCTCAAAGCTAGGCCTTCGGGCCGACACAGGATGTGTCGTGTCAAAGACTTTCTATAGCCGAGCCGGCCCATATGGCCAAGTTTGTGCTGAGCTCATCAATGGATTTTTTTTGTTTGTTTGAGCCATTGGATGGGAAATTTAGGGTTTAGAAAGATGCACTCACACACTCCATATGCAATTGACACATAACTAGACTCGAATTAGCTAAAAAGGAGAATAAGTTGATATTGTACTTACATGAAATTGGCATAAGTACTTTTTAATTGCCTGTGTGTTGCAGCAGGGGCATATATATTTATGGTTTACATCATGACTCGCATATATCTTCCACCCATTGTCTTCGCCTCCTCAATCCAATCTTACCACGTATGTCAATGGTTCATCCTGTCACGGTTCCCCTTTCACTGCCACCCACGCACTTTGGATTTTAAACACATAACTATGCAGTTTGTGTATATGCAAATGTTCCAAAAAGAAAAAAGAAACGTACATAAGAGATCGTCGATATCCTTCTAGCATATGCATGACAGTAGGACGAAAGGAAAAAAATAAAGACATAGGAACCTAACTAGCACACATGTCCGTGCGTTGCAATGGGAAAAAAATAAATTCACGCACTATCCATCCGTGTTGCCTCTTCGCCATCCATTCATGAATCCAATTCCAAGATGATGAGACATAGCAAAAAGAATATGTGCATTACCAAGGATAATTATTTTTGTATAGATGTATGGAGGAGCGTGTGCAAAAAAACAGTACCACCTTAGATAGTTAAAAAAACTAATATGGGTTAGTAGATCAAAAAATCAAAGAAATGCACCTTACTTTATTAGTAGGCTGACAAAAAAGACCCATGTATTGAAAACGGAGAATATCACACACCCTATCCCTGATAATAATGCCTCAAGACCTTTCCTTGTAAATGTACTCCACATGATGATGGCGTAACACCCGCCCATCTGCCGCTACCGCCGTAGCCAACCCATACATCCTCCTCCTGCTAGCATGACCATCAAGCACGGGGAAGATCTGGGAAAAAATATTGCCATCTCTATGGTCCACCGATCTTGTACAAATGCGGCAAAAATTTAGAGTAGCATCATGGGGTATTTACTCTTCTTTCATGAACTCGTATAAATATAAGCCGATAAAAAAAACTTAAGTGTCATAAATTCATAAGCAAATAGTAGTTGGTAGATCATATACGCACTTATTCTAAATGTGCGGATATAATAGGATGAGTGACAGATACACTTATACAAATATTGCATATGCACTTTGGACCTTATGTGGTACTGCCTCATCAAAATATAAAATGTTTGATCTAGATTTAGACAAAATAATCTCTTATACATTATTACATATGCAGTATATGGGGCATGAGTTGACAATCGCTCCATCCTTAATACTACTATGCATCTTATTCATCTCATCTGTGTTCCTAAAACTAAATGTATATTAGACGTTTGTATTATAAACTATAAAAAAAATAAAGTACACTAACTTTCACGGGTGATCTATCCTGGCTTTAGCTCAAGCACGTGGACCCATCTAACTTATATCTTCACATGGGTACTCGTAAGACTAGTCACAATGGGAGTAACTTAACTAGTAACATCACACATTTCAATACAAAATTGCTTATGTGGCAGCTAATTAATGAGGAGAGAGGGGTTTGTGGTAACTTAGCTAGTTACTGTAACATCACACATTTCAAGGCATAATGAGTCTATAGCCTAATAAATGAACTCTTTCATGATACCACTCATACGTTACTACCCACTATGGAGGTAGTAACATAGACTAGTAACATCGGCAAGTTACTACTCTATATTACTCCCCACTGTGAGCAGTCTAATACACTGTAGCTGACCGGCTAAAATAATTCACTTGAATCCACTACCAATCTTATCTCTCAGCAGCCAGCACTTTCGTCAATGCCCAGACCAAATAGAGATGAAGGAAGCGAAGGGGAGGTGCCTGCACGGCTCGTACGCAGCTGAATCTGGCCGCTGGGCGACGTTGAACCGAGGTGGCGAGTTCGGAGGTCGAGCAGACCACAGCAACTGTGATGCTCCTATGCTCGTTGGAGTGGCGCCCGTGGCCACCAGCGCGGCGGCTGCACCCCTGTGCACAGCATCGCCGGCAAACTCCCATGCCGCGGCCCGGGGAACCCCCATGACTGACCTCATAGAGCGCCACTCTGTTTTGTCCGCATGCGGCGTCCCACGCCCTTCCTCGCCAGAACCGGCCGGCCCAAACCCTCCATCACAACTTCGTCTGCTTCTCTGCGTCCCTCGAACGAGCATAGCTGCCTCTCCCACCACTCCTCCACCTTGCCGCGCTGTTGTCGTCGTTGTTGCTTTCCTTGCCGGTCCTCCCAGGCCCGGGCGACCTCATGTGGGTGCTGCCATGGATGAGTACAAAGCTCGAGCTTGCCTCCTCCCCCCCTCCCCCCGTCCCTTGCTCGAACACCGCCGCCGCCAGCCAAGCTCTGCCCCGGCGAGCTTCCTACTCCTCCTCTTCACTTCCCTGGAGGCACAGGCATGTTCCTGCTTGAGACACCGTCATCGCCTGACAGTGCTCGGAGACACCACTGCCACCGATGTCGCCGGATTGCCCTCAACCCCTTCTTTCTTGATCTCAATCTACATAGCCCGGACACGAACTCTGATGACTTCGATCTAAATCAGAGAAGGACAGAACGGGGCAGGAGGTTGCAGATCGATGAGGGTAGGGGTGGCGGATGGGCAGGGGAAGGGGAAGACCGGTGATAACCCACAAGTATAGGGGATCGCAACAGTTTTCGAGGGTAGAGTATTCAACCCAAATTTATTGACTCGACACAAGGGGAGCCAAAGAATATGCTCAAGTATTAGCAGCTGAGTTGTCAATTCAACCACACCTAGAAACTTAATATCTGCAGCAAAGTATTTAGTAGCAAAGTAATATGATAGTAGTGGTAACGGTAGCAAAAGGTAACAGTAGTAAAAGTAATGTTTTTGGTATTTTGTAGTGATGATAGCAATAGCAACGGTAAAAGAGATTCAGTCAAGTCATACTCAATGTAAACTAACAATAATGAATGCAAATGACAGCGGTGCTCTCCAACTGGTGCTTTTTAATAAGAGGATGATGACTCAGCATAAAAGTAAATAGATAGACCCTTCGCAGAGGGAAGCAGGGATTTGTAGAGGTGCCAGAGCTCAATTTTGAAACAGAGGTGAATAATATTTTGAGCGGTATACTTTCATTGTCAACATAACAACCAAGAGATGGCGATATCTTCCATGCTACACACATTATAGGCGGTTCACAAACAGAATGGTAAAGTTTATACTCCCCCTTCCACCAACAAGCATCAATACATGGCTTGCTCGAAACAACGAGTGCCTCCAACTAACAAGAGTCCCAGGGGGAGTTTTGTTTGCAATTATTTTAATTTAGTTTGCATAAAGCATGGGATTGGGCATCCCGGTGACCAGCCATTTATCTCGTGAGTGAGGAGCAGAGTCCACTCCTCTTGAGAATAACCCGCCTAACATGGAAGATACAGACAGCCCTAGTTGATATATGAGATGTTAGAGCATACAAAACAGGATATTTATTTGAAGGTTTAGAGTTTGGCACATACAAATTTACTTGGAACGGCAGGTAGATACCGTATATAGGTAGGTATAGTGGACTCATGTGGAATAACTTTGGGGTTTAAGGGATTGGATGCACAAGCAGTATTCCCGCTTAGTACAGGTGAAGGCTAGCAAAAGACTGAGAAGCGACCAGCTAGAGAGCGACAACAGTCATGAACATGCATTAAAATTAATCAACACCGAATGCAAGCATGAGTAGGATATAATCCACCATGAACATAAATATCATGAAGGCTATGTTGATTTTGTTTCAACTACATGCGTGAACATGCGCCAAGCCAAGTCACTTAAATAATTCAGAGAAGGATACCACCCTATCATACCACATCATAACTATCTCAATATCATGTTGGCACGCAAGGTAAACCATTATAACTCATAACTAATCAAGCATGGCACAAGAAACTATGATCTCTAGTTGTCACTGTAAACATGTTTATTCATAATAGGTTGAATCAGGAACGATGAACTAATCATATTTACAAAAACAAAAGAGGTCGAGTTCGTACCAGTTGTTCTCATCTCCATCAGTCCATCATATATTGTCATAATTGCCTTTCACTTGCACGATCGAATGATGTGAATAATAATAATAGTGCACGTGCATTGGACTAAGCTGGAATCTGCAGGTATTCAATAAACAGGAGAAGACAAGGCAATATGGGCTCTTTTGTCAGATAAACAATAATGCATATAAGAGCCACTTCAACAATTTAATTATGGTCTTCTCCTATCGACCCTCAAAGAAAAGAAAATAAATAAAACTATTTACACGGGAGAGCTCCCAACAAGTAAAAGAAGAACAAGAAATCTTTTGGGGTTTTCTTTTTAATTACTACTACAAGCATGAAAATTAAACTGATTAAAAGCTACAACTAATTCTTTTTGTTTTTCTTAAGGTTTATTAGACACACGAGAAGAAAGCATAAAAAGGAAATAAACTAGCATGGATGATACAATGAAAAAGTATGAGCACCGACATCTAGCAATGAGTGTGTGAACATAAATGTAATGTCGGTGGGAAATACGTACTCTCCCAAGCTTTGGCTTTTGACCTAAGTTGGTCTATGGCCACGGCTGGCCTGACGGATATCCATAATAGTAGTTGGGGTCGTACTGAGATGCAGCGGCTATCGTCTGCTGAGCTGCAGCGTGGCGACGAGCGGCCTCCGCTCTCCTCTCGTACTCATCTGCCTCATCTCTGGTAATGGTATATCTTCCTCTTGCCTGATAATCAAATAAGGCAGGAGCAGGGAGAGTAATATGGACAGCACGGCGTATGTCAAAAATTAGTCGATACTGGAGAGGCGATTCATTCCTCTCGACAAACTAATGGTGAATCATAGCATTAAAGTCTAAGTAAGCAGGAGGTAATTCAATATCATCTTCGCGTATGGCTACACCAAGAAAATTAGCTATGCGGGTTGCATAAATTCTATCAAAGAAATCTTCATTAAATCTATTAAGATGCAATCTACGTGCAACAATGGCTCCCAAATTATAAGATTTATCTCCCAACACAGCACTCCTAATAATACTGAGGTCGGGGACACACATGTGACATGCTTCATCTTTACCATTAATGCATCTACCTATGAAGAGAGCAAAATAATGTATAGCTGGAAATTGAATGCTCCCTATGGTAGCTTGTGTTATATCTCTAGATTCTCCCACAGTTATACTAGCAAGAAAATCTCTAAATTCAGATTTGCGAGGATCCCTTATACTACCCCATTGTGGAAGTTTGCAAGCAGTAATAAAATCCTCTAAGTCCATAGTATAGGAATTTTCATAAATATCAAATAGGACAGTTGGAGAATTACGTGAAGCTGAAAATTTAAACCTCCTCACAAAGGTACTGGTGAGGTTGTGATACTAGCTGCACTTTTCTTCCTCGAAGCTCACAAGATCAGTGTTACGTAAATATGCGTTAAATTCTTCCTTAATTCCTGCTCGATCCATAAAATTCTCAGAAGGCCATTCACAAGGACGCACTGGAGCGTCTCTTGGTGGCTCATCATCAGCATCACGCATTGCAAGCCTAGGTCCTTACTTCCTTGAAGAACCACCTTGGAACATTTTCCTAAGCATATTTCTTCCTCTGAAAAATTCTAAAAAAATTTAGTAACTTCAAAATAAAGGTAAACCAAACTCAATAATATTGATAGCAACTACTCCTATATCATGCATCAAAACTACTTGGAACCACATAAATTTGACATGCAAGCTCAAGAACAGGATCACCTAAGCAGCAAAAATTTGCAATGAATAAAGCACTAGAACAAAAACTAATTGGACCAATGGAGGAATCACATACCAAGGAACAATCTCCCCAAGAAGTTTTGTGAGAGGTGCTTTGAGCAAGGAGATCGAAAATGGCAGCAAGATGAGCTAGAACTCGTGCTTGAGTTGGATATTCGTGTTTGGGGGAAGAAGGAGTGTATGGGTGAAAGGATAAGTGGAGGAGGGCCACTGTGGGCCCACGAGGCAGGGGGCGTGCCCAGGGGGTAGGGCGCGTCCTCCACCCTCGTGGGCAGGTGGTTGACCCCCCTGCTGTGTTCTCAGTGCCAAATATTCTCAAATATTCTAGAAAAAATCATATTCAAATTTCAGGGCATTTGGAGAACTTTTATTTTCGAGGTATTTTTATATTGCACGGATAATCAGATAACAGACAGAAAAATATTTATTTTCATTTTATTTAATATAAGTAACAGAAAGTAAAAGTGGGGTACAGAAGGTTGTGCCTTCTAGTTTCATCCATCTCATGATCAACAAAAGGAATCCACTAACAAGGTTGATCAAGTCTTGTTAACGAACTCATTCCGAATAACATGGAACCGGAGAAATTTCGAATAACACTATGTTACCTCAACGGGTATATGCACATTGCTACCTCTTGAGCACTGCGTTGGATTTCCCCGAAGAGGAAGGGATGATGCAGCAAAGTAGCGTAAGTATTTCCCTCAGTTTTTGAGAACCAAAGTATCAATCCAGTAGGAGGCTACGCTCGAGTCCCTCATACCTACACAAAAACAATAGCTCAACGCAACCAACGCGCTTATGGGTTGTCAATCCCTTCACGGTCACTTACGAAAGTGAGATCTGATAGAGATGATAAATGATATTTTTGGTATTTTTGGTATAGAGATGCAAAGTAAAAGTAAAATCAAAGTAAAAGCAAAGCAATAATAAAGTGATGGAGATTGATATAATGAGAAAGAGACCCGGGGGCCATAGGTTTCACTAGTGGCTTCTCTCAAGAGCATAAGTATTCTACAGTGGGTGAACAAATTACTGTTGAGCAATTGACAGAATTGAGCATAGTTATGAGAATATCTAGGTATGATCATGTATATAGGCATCATGTCCGAGACAAGTAGACCAAAACGATTCTGCATCTACTACTATTACTCCACTCATCGACCGCTATCCAGCATGCATCTAGAGTATTAAGTTAAAAACAGAGTAACGCCTTAAGCAAGATGACATGATGTAGAGGGATAGTTTCATGCAATATGATAAAAACC